AAGGATTGTATCTATTCATTTATATTTTCCTAAAGATTTTTCTTCTATTAATTTCATCCTTAGCTCATAGAGTACTTACAAAATGGCTACTAGAAGCATGATGGCCATCAGAATCTGGAATGTAATGGTAATAGTGTCATAATCATACTACTTATTTACGTATGAATGGGAGTAGCAGAAGAGTCTTATACAAAAACACTTACAACTCTATTGATTGATGTAATCAAGATACATGTAATATGATAACAATGAGAAAAACATATAACTCATTAGAGATTCCGTAATATATTCTATAAAGTGTAATAGATAAAGTGAAAAGAAACTGAGAATGATAATGAATGAACATCATATATCAAAATGAAACATAGATTCTTGATGATGTCTAACAGAGTTGAAGAATCCACCCATGTACACGAACGACCGTTCGGAGAAGTTTTTTTTTACAAATATTTTTCTATGTGAGAAAAAATTTCACAGTTTTTCCATGAAACTTTGGTATATTGAAGGCTCCATCGATAAGATCTGTTGTCAAATCTCGACAAGAATCATTCATACCACTCAAATAGACTGAGCATCGTTTTTTTTTTCGTTTATACTGATCATGCTTACCACTACTTTTCTTGTACCTTTTCTTTTAATATGTATTCAAGATAGGACACTTGCTATTAGTCTCCTACTCTTTTCCTTGATGCAATGTAACTTGTTGCATTTTCTCTGTTCGTACATAAAGTTGTTATTGTGTGTATATATGTGAACACAACCACTAAGATGATTAATATGTAGTCGTAATTTCTGGGGAGTGAATGTGGGTGAAAGATACATTCACAATTACACCCACACCCATACCCATATTTTCTTGTTTATTGTCTTCAAGAAGTAAATCAAGTCTGTTAGATGATCATATAAAGCTAGGAACACAGAATAAGAAATATAGAAGTATTTTGTGAACGTTTTCTAGTTTTCGGAACGAGTATTATTTATAGTTTGCTTGCTTGGCGATGTACATAAATAAACAAGTGGCTACTCTGGTTTGTTGTTGCTAAAAGCAGTCTCTTGTATGTTTTTTATCTATCTATTTTATCAGCTTTCTAGCATAAGGAATGCTCGTTTACCACGTTTTCTATAATTATTTCCTTTTGATCTTGTCATCTCTTTAACACTTTGTTTATAACATAAACTGTTCTTTTTTTAAATAATTTATCTCATTCGTGATATTATTATTCAAACATAGTGTATAGGAAGTAATTGTTTAATATACAAAATTATTTTTTTTCACAAACTAGATATTGTCTATATTTATTATTGTAAGTTTTGTTTTCTTTCTTTTTGAACGTGAGTTCAAGTTTTATTGTATCAAAGAATGACAACACTAACCACCAAGGATTAATGCATAACAAAACTAACAATAATCACAACACTAGAAGAAAGTATCTGTATATATATATATATCGATACAGTATGGAGGGGTGTCCAAGGACTGAGGAATAGGAATTCCTACTCAGTTCCCTGACATTTCCTTGAATGCTAAAATTAAAAAAATACAATATCCACGGTATTTATTACTCTTACACTCGTTTTCATCAAGAAATCTATGCACATGAACGCATGAGTACGAAAATTATTGCAAAAAAAGCATTATCTTGACTTTCATGAATGAGGGAACTGTGATGGAAATAATGGTCAATTCCCATTTCCCCAAGGAATTATCATAGCTACACTGACAATTCCTCTACAAATTAGGAATTCCTATTTCTCAGTCCTTGGACACTGCTGAAAATTTGAGTGTGCATATGGAAACTATAAAAAGTATTATTATTTTGATCGATTTATTTATTTGTCATTTTTTTAAAATTAATTATTTTAAAACCTCTGATAATATATTATGAATTTACAATCATCAGATTTTGTAAGTTTCATATTTTGATTCCATAAGAAATCGATTGAGAAGTTTTCTATTTCGATGAAAAAGTTGTCACTTGAATAAAAGAAAATTTTTTTTTCATCTAACCGAGGTAAAAGTAACTTAATCCATAAATAGAATAACTTTCTAGTCACCAGTTTGATTGACACTAATTAAGTTTATGATAATAAAAGTATGTTTTTGTCACACGATTGATATTTTATGTCGTATATCATTTTCTAGAATCATTAATAAAATGAGAAAATTTTCATCATCTCTATATATAATGAACAATGAACGTTGTTTTATATTCATCTATTTATATTCACTATCACTTCCATCAACATTGCATCTCAAAAGTTAATATTTTTATGACCTACCACACACATACGTAGTTTTATTCGACATAAAATTTCGATTTTGAACAATTTTGCTTAATACGATGACATTTTTTTGTTTATTTTTTAAAGAATCGAATATTTTAGTAATCTTTTCACATAACGTGACTAAGCTTAATAGGAATACATATATTTAAGATTTTCAAATCTACTTTGTTTTTTTTTTTCTTAAATATAAAATTTAGAAATGATTTGAAAATTGATCATTTGAATAAACTGTAAACAGCTTAAATCTGAGTACGTTTGATATTTTTGCTTTTTGATAATCATATAAAAATGTTATGTAATTGATGCAACATGTCATTTCTTAATCATTTATTTAAAAAGAATACCATTTATAATGGTTTTTCCTACTAGGGAAGTAATCGTATTACTGCTCGAATCGTTCTATTGCAAAATTTCTATAAGCAAAACAGTCTATAATTTCTCATAATAGATCAAGAAAGATTGCATCATTCTCTAATGATAAAAACTCATGTTTTAAAAGATAAATACTTGTCTGCACCTGTATGCTACCGAAATATATGCAAAATAATGAAAAGTTAAAATTATTTTGGTGCATTCATTATCTAATCAATGTTAAATGAATAGTTTTGAGTGTAATTTAGTGTTTATATTAATCATTAAAATGAACGTTTTATATATGTTGACTATGATCGATGATCGCTTAATTTAAACCTGTATAGAGTTTTCATTGAAAACTAATCAAATATTGGTAGAATAAGCTCATGAGAATATTTCACTAGTTAATGCCAATCAAAAATTAAACAAAATATTAAAAGTAGATAATATATTTAATGAAGTATTCTATAAATTGATCATGAAACTAAAATACATCAAATACTAACAATTATAAGATAAGTTTCAATAATTGATTCTAATAGATTAGCAACAAAAATACCAAAAATTAATCAAGTCATTGCAACACAAATATTCATTATCCATTATACATTTGATATTAAAATACGAAAAATGGAGGTTGTGAATATGGCTGGAGATAAACTCACACCCACATCGCACACTTGAAGAATTCGAACGATGATCAACGTAGCCGTATGACAAATAATTTGCATTTTAAAATTCAAAAGTTTGAAGGAATCATAAAAAAAAAGCAAAATAAAGAGTTCTTTTCTTGAAAATATCGATCTAGAATTCATAATATCATATTAGCATGTTTTGGTGAATAGTTACTGAATCATCTATCACATTCGATATTGAAACGTTTCATATGCAGAAATTTTGATCAACTGTGGCATGTAATCCAAGTGTTCCATGGTAAAATTTTCCATAGTACATCAAGATGGTTATTGAATACATAAAATTATTCGATTAGAAAAGCATGATCCCTATAAAATGAATCATTACTGCATGAATAAAATAAATACATTTAAATAGCACGAAGCAGAACGTAAATCAAACAATATAAATGAAAAAGAATGATTGGAGAAGGTTGATGTTATATTTAGCGGCAATTAAATATTTGTTCATAGCAATGATAAATTTGTCAGTGATTTCATATTCAAAATTAGCAATTTAAAATGTTTTTCAATAGTTTCGATTAATTCTACTGTCGACTGAGCTTTACAAAATGTCAATAAAAGTTGATAAATGAAAAAAATTTCGAATGTATTCGCGTAATAAAATAGCATCGGATGGATATGGACTACGATTGACACAGATCTCCATTGCACATCTTAGAAACAAAGAATGAGAACTTTCTAACTACAAATCTATATACAGATTTATCCAGAACAATTCTTCTCGTTACACTACAATGATCACTCGATCGGAGAATTGTTCTTCAAATGCCTCTAGTTCACTGCAGTTCTCACATTTCGATGTTTTCGGCAATTTTTATTTGATAATGAATTTATTCAATGAAATCCTGCGAGAAGAATTTCTTCAGTGAACATTCGACTTTTATTTTCATGGCACGAGTAAACAACTAACCTTCGTCCTTTGTTAAATGACTGAAATCGGACGAATTCGATCTTCTTCTATTCTCAACGCATGAAATCTTTTCACTGACGTCGAGTTTTCTCTTTCATAACAGCTCTTTTCTTCTTGGCAATATTCTTTATTGTGACACTTTGGAGTACTTCCCATAGGTATGGTGTAAAATTGAGAGTAAGAATTAGGAAAGTGACGGAATGAGAGGCAAATTCTTATATTAACTTCGATTTTTATGACGTGACTTATGGCAAATACCCATATTATTATTATATCAAATAATTTTTCATTGTGTCTCATAGTTTTCTATTGTCGTAGATTTGTGATTTTTCATCAATGAAATAGAATTTTCAAGAAGTATTCAAGTTTCATAATGTGAAAAAATTGCTGAAAAAGATCGAATACTGGCATCTGTTATAATTTACATCTCTTGTTTTGAGGCATAATACTCATCTCAGCGGCATTACTACATACAACAAATAAAGAAGATGTCATGTGCAGAAGATCATGTTAGTTTTTTTTTATCTTCTTTGGTATATTTTTCCCACGACTCTTTTTTAAATTGATTAACAACAATATTCTATACAAAAAAGATTTATGTTCTTCACTTTGTAAATCTTCGAGAAGAGCTAAAGAATATTCGTCTGAATTTTATAATGTCATCATACATTGATCTGTTGAACATAACAGCTCAAAAGGTAAATATCATTGTTGGTATTACATTTTTTGTGCTTGGCTTGGTTGGCAATTCTATGAATATTTTAATATTCTCTTCTTTATTGAAAATACCAGTCTTTCCACCAAGTCCAGGTTGTCTTTATTTATTGACTACTGCAATTGCTAACTTAGTATTTGTTGGTTATTTACTGCTGACTCGTATTTTGATCTCTGGATTCTTTATTCCAGTAACAAATACAATTAATTTTATATGTAAATCACGTTTTTATATTGGTCAAGTTTGCATGTTTACATCACTTTTCTGTACTAGTTTTGCAACTATTGATCAATATTTTATATCAAATCGATCTGTAAGAATTCGTCAATTGAGTCACTTGTCCTTTGCAAGAATAATTATATTAGTTTCTGTTTTTCTTTGGTGTTCAATAAATATACCAGTGTTATTTCTTTACAATGTATATCCAAAAAATAATGGAACATCAACTGTATGTACAGTATATTCTCCTGCTTGGTCATTTTATTACACATATTTTCAAAGTTTGTTCTTGCTTTGTCTTGTACCTTTATCAATATTTATAATATTTGGTATTTTGACAAGAAGAAATCTTCACTCTGTACGTCAATTTCATCGATCAATTTCTCGTCAAATGACCAAAATGATTCTTTTACAAGCAACAGCAATGGGACTTTCTCTTTTCATAGCTACTGTTCAAATAATTTATCAATCAGTAACGATGAATATTCAAAAAGATGCATTACGTAATGCTCAAGATAATATATTTAATACAGTTGCTAACTTATTGACTTATGGCACTTATTTTGGAGACTTTTATATTTATTTATGTTCATCAAAATCTTTACGTCAAGCTTTAAAAAGAATAATATTCAATCATGAAACAACTCAGTCAATAACCAATACAATGTTTTCTATTCAAAACCAAAAAGGAACTATAACAAATCAGAATAAAGTACAACCTATAGAAAAGAACAATAGTTAAACAAAAAGATATTCGGATGGAACAATATCAATTATATATAGATTATTTATTTCTCTATTTACTATTTGCCTTGCATATTTTCCTGAGTTCTTTATTAATAATTTACCATTGAAACCTTTGCTTCTCGCTTAATCTATAATCGGCTTTCAAATTCTTTTTTTTTGTCATTGCTCAGTTGTAAATTAATTATATTCAAGAATGATTGAATGTACAAGGAATTAATTAACGAATAAATATTTATCGACAATGATTTATATCAATACTTCAATTTAAAAAAGAAAATAATATAACACATGAAGTTATAGGAAAATGCTCTTTGACCTAGTTTGAGCACTGTTCTAGTTAGAATTCTTACTGATCGATTGAGATTTAAATTTTGAATTGATTAAATACTATTTTGACCTTTTTGAAAAAAACAACTAAAGAATGAAAGTGACAGATATTTTTTTCAAATCTTTTCACTCTAATTTACATTGAAAATCAACTTCAAATGTAATAAATGCTTCTTTTTCATGAAGTCGTATCACTAAATGTTTTAATTTCGCTCATTCAATTTCATATGCTAGAATAGGTCTATCCTAAATGCAGGAGAAAAGTTAAACACTTTACTTTGAACATTCTTAATTAAAGACAAGCTATCGAAGAGATCCAAATCGTGATTTCTATAGTTTTTAGAGTAGTGTACAAAATTTAGATGTGAATATTTTTTAGAGTATAAGTATTTTAGTTTTTATTATACAAAAAAATTTTTCTCCATCGGATAAAAAATTTGAGTATATTTTTAGCGTTTGACCATTGTTTTCATTAATCAACAATAACTTAAAGCAGTTAGATACACCATTGAATGTAGAATTTTACGTGCTATATTTTGATTTAAAAACACTCATTTTCAAATCAAACAATATTAAACAATTATTCTTTGACTATTGGATAATTATTAATTAGTATGAATTACTAAGTAATTAATAAAGATCTGCTGTGATTTCAATTTCCAAGCAGACTATGAGAAAGAACATAAAAAATTGAACAAAGTTTTTTAATTATTATTCCAAAATAAGTCATCTTAATAGAATTTTCAGAGTAGATTTAGTTTTTATTAGTCATAATATTTATTAACTTATAAAAATATTCAATACAAAATAGTACTGTAAATCTAAAAAAGATTAATATATTTCGAAAGCAAGACTTCTCTGATCATATTCAAGTAAAAAAATATTATACAAATATTTACAAAAATAGCTGAATATGAACATGTGAAAGAACTACAAGAATTTTATCATACTATTTGTTTATGGTTCATCTGTTCAACCTAGTTTTAATATTCTTGGTGAGAAAACATTAATGAAAAACAAAATATTTTTTAATTCATCATTAAAAAAAAACATTTTTCCAATAGATGTAACAGAAAATGCTCAACTTCGAATAGACTTGATCGTATAGATCAGCCTGTCATAATAGGAAGGAGAAATAGAGCATTTTGATTTTTCTCAAAATTCTTCTTTCATCTATTGAAGATTTATCTAAAACAGATATATCTGATGTAGTAGTGCTGGATACATTTCATTAAAGTTGAATACAATATATGATACTTGTTAGCTGACGTGGACTAATCCAAGTGTTATCATTTACTAAAAAAAAAAGCTTCGTGAACTTGCTATATTAACTGATGTAAAAACAATGTTAAACAAAGAAAATTTTAATTGAATTGATCTCAATATGATTGATAAAATAGAACGGCCACGAAAAAGATTAACCGCATTAATGTTTAAAATAGTTTGAACAATAATGCTGAATAATTTTTGGTATTTATAATTTTGATGTCGTCCAAAATAATTGTTGAAAGTGTTCATTTTGAACATACAGAACCTGTAGCTAGTTGTGATTTTTCTGATGAATTATCATTCCGTTATTTGATGCTCAGAAATGCAATAAGGAAGTAGTTAACTAGACAGTATTAAGGCACAGTCTTTGATTGTATATCAGCAAAGTATATAACTGTCTCTGATGAAACAGACAGACGTGCAGCTAAAAGGATTCTCCATCAGGATTAGTAGGCTCGAAGACCTCAATGAAACCATTTAAATAAGGATCTGCAGAAAATCAAGACAATCAAAACGAAATTTGTCGTATCTATTCGAAGTTTTTGAGAAGAATTCTTATTGGATAGAGAAAAATGAAAAATCTTCGACCTCTTCATGAACTTCCTTCATCAAACTGCCTTTCGAGCTCCTCGTAAATCGAAAACAAGTCAATGAAGGAATATGGAAAGTTCTATGGCACCCTATTTTTCTCTACCAAATAAAACTTTTTTCGGAAATCTTAATCCAAGCAGTTCTGTTGAAGTCTTCGGACCTGCTATTGCTTATAGAGAATTGTTTCAGCTACACAAATATTTTATATTTTAACATTCACTTCATATTGTGTTTCACAAAAATATAGTATCAGATACAATATATGAATCATTTCTTATATGTTGTCAGCTGATTTTGATTTATTGAGTGTCGATGGTGTTTTTGATCATTGGTTCATAGCTTTTCCGACATCTTCTGGCAATCGATTAAAATCTTGTTGGTTTAACCACTTTGTACGTAGTCGCTGAAGACGATTCTTCGACTTTTAAATTTTGTAAATATGAAGATAAATTGTATAAAAATATGTTTTATTTCTATGTCATTTTGTAGTGTGATTTCAAAATAAGATGATGCAATAGAAAAGATGAGTCATCCATTTGTCACAAAATTGCATTATTTTAGTCTTTCTATGATCGACGAAGGTTATTCCGAAAAGTGGATTAATCATCGAAAGGAAACAAAAAAAGATAATAACATATTAAATTTTCTGTTTCGAGTAAAAGAAAAGATACTGATTTCTTTATCAGTTTATACATTCATTGTAAAAGTATAGAAATCAAATAAAAAAAAATTATAGATAATATTCAACGAACTTACATTCTTGAATGAATTGCATAAATGACGGAGAACCCGAATGATGAACAGTTTTCATGAATGAATTCCAAAAAAATAAACAAAGAAATAAATGAATTCGGAATTGAAAAAATATTGTTAAATTCTTTTGGAAAATTGATCATATCAATCAAAATAGAACGAACAAAAATTCAACTTGAAACAATCATATGCTTTTTGAGTGAGACAATGTTCATTTGATGAGTAATAGAAAAGATTTAAAATGGTTCCACTTTTCGGACCTTCGTTATTTTTGAACAGAAATCTGTAATTCTACTCAAGTCACATGAAAAATCGACTTTCGAATTCAAATTTTCCATGAACATGAGATTAATTCTTTGGACAAGTTATAACTTTCCTGGCTTTTTTCCTATCCAGAGATATTGAATATTCGAAATTTCTTGTATTAACTAATCTCGTTAAGAACTTTGTTCGAAGGAAACTACATGTTTTTATGCTGAAACATTCAGTCAAATTTCGATATATGGAGAACGAAGGTTCGAAACAACAATACTTCGTCAGTCAACTTTTCATACTCTCATCTGACATTTGTCATTCGGTACACCAGGTAGGATTCAACGAGCTCTATCGAATTTCAGTGCCACTCTTCTGGCAATACTGCATTACGGAATTTCATTAGAAACTGAAAATTATGGTATGTCTACACTACTCAACGTTTAGTGTTTTTCGTCTTCGCAAACATAAATAAATTTGCATATATTTGGAATCACCACTGAATTTCGAACAAAATGGTCTATTTGGTTTTCCAAAATTTCAACATTGATTTTTCTCGAAAATTTCTCGTGTCGAAAAAAGGTTGGAAATTTTTTCCTCAGGTTTTAGGAAAATATAATTCATTTGATGCAGAATTTCACGCTGAAGACGAACATCTAATTACTTTTGCTTATTTCTGCTTTTTACTCTTAAAGACACTGCAACTTTTTGAAAAATGACGAAATTCCACAACGGATGATAATGTATTTAAACTCCTATTTGATACAGACATTTCTATTAAAAAATGACTTGATATTCTGGAAACTCATTAACAACCATACAAATTTTGCAAAGAGTATTTATTTGTATGTCATTTCATTTTGCAGCGAAGTGGAAAACTTTTATTTTCTCTAAAAAAAGCATCCATTTTTTGAAATTCCCTAACGGTCGGTATTGTGTGAATAACTGATCTCTGGCTCAACAGGAATCAATAAACTTTTAATTTGTGTAAGATCTCGGTGATCTCTATTCACGATAAAAATTTCGTTGCTTTTGCTCTTGTCGATATGGAGATATAGGTTGAACAAGGTAAAAGTCTATAATGATTGTATTCCTAAACGATCACTATCAAGATGTCATGAGAAAAGTGAAATAAATTCTAACGAAAATATTAGGAGTACAAATCCGGCAAACTTTCAAATTTTCGTCTCACAAATCTCTAAAACTTACACTCACCCTATTTTTCTTCGAAACAAAAACCGTAATGTGAGTTCCACAAAAAACAAAAACAGTCAATAATTTTCCCATCAATGGTTGATGATAATGGATTAATATTAAACAAACTTTGAATATCGCTTAATTGAATTAGTGCACTATGTTTTTTATACCGGATGTTTTTCACATGTGTTCAAGACAATCGAAAAGAAAATGAATTAAATGTGTTCGTGTTGTTGTTAATTCTTGTGAAAGTTCAATAAATTGAAATTTTTCTATATAATCATGATGTGAAGCAAGGAACTCAGATTAAAATTTAACAACAACAATGAAACGTACTTAATACTGTCGGAATCGTTTTCTTACTCGACAATTATCAATACTATTAATTCAATGAATCAATTAATAATTCATAATTAATATATATGCGGTTGGTGTATATTTAAGCAAACGCTAAATAGGTCGTAGCATTCAATGCAGTTAAATGTTGTTTACCTAATTGAGTTTTATGGTCACGAACCTATTTGAAATATTTTTTATTTTTTACATTATCTATTCAATGAAATAAAATGATGTTAAGAGAAGCATAAAAACGAGGATTCATTTTTT